GAACCGGCCGTTTCCGTGCTGGATTGTTCGACCTGGGAAGTAACAATATCCTTATCGACTTGGTTCAACAAATAAAAACAGATCTGTTGTGTAGACTTAGCTTCAATTCTTTGTTTATTGTGAAATCTTTTTCCAATGTGTTGAAATTCAAATGTCAAAATTCGGTGAATAAATTGAAATATTACAACTGAATAGTTCTAAAAAAATCGGTCAAGTGAAATAGACGAACCTTAAAATGAAAAGTAAAATTTTTCTGTATCTGATTAAAAGAACTCTTTTTCGAATGTGTCAATTCATCTGGTTTTGGAAGCTTTGATTCATGGAGAATTTTTATTGAGTTTGAAGACTGAAGGCGGAATTTCGAGGAATTTGTCTGAAATTGAAAAGAATGAACAAATCTTGGAAACAGTTCTAAATAAGATGGTTGTTCACGTTCAAACACTGAATTTTAATGTTTTTACACTAAAGTATTCAAATAGAAAAATCATCAAACGAAAGAAAACGATCTTTTCTTGTTTTAGATATTGCGATACAAATCCATGGAATAAGAAATAAGAGAAAAGAGTCTAGAATAGCTAATCCTTGATAGATAGAATCAAATTAAACTGAAGAATATATTTGTTTTAAGGTCAATGTGTTCTTCGACAGGGAAGAAGAAACAGATGACAGGTAATGAAAAAATCTAAGTATGTTTACTCCGCATTACTACCTTCATCATGATCGTATAAAAACAAGAAGAAACATCGGATTTTTACTGGTCACTATTAGTTGATTTTGTACCAGAGGCTATCACAAGACAGGGCGTCCTGCGGTACATGTGATAAAATTCGGAAACACATGTACATACTGTAAAACCCCTCGACAATGAATAATATAGTGTCCGTTCAGAAAATTTGGAATAAGGTATAGTCATTCGCTAAATAGAAGTTTGCGTTGGTGGCACCAGGACGTAATAGCTATGGTTATTGAGAACTAGTTAACATAAGCAATTGATGACAAAGTAGTCCCTGAAGTGAAATCCATCTGAATTTTGGAAAATTCATCACTATTCCTTCTAACTACTATAAGTATTCAGCAGTGAAAAGGAACTAAAGTACATGCAATCATTGGATCATTTTCATCGCATAAATGAGCGTAAGCTTTGCCACAATCATCATGTGTTCATCGTTTTATAATCGCAAATGAATAAGTCCATTATTCTTTTATCTGTAACGAAAGACGTCGCTGCCGATAATTCACTGCTCACTATTATTTCGTATCTGACGATATATAACTCATCGAATAATTAATTTAGCACCAATTCAAAATACGCATTGCTTTTTTCCCATTTTCCAAACTCTCACAGACATATTTTCTTTTACCTGTTCACTATATAGAGGTTGCACACTGATAAAGTTTCTTCTGTATTTCATAATATTCGATAAATATACTTCGCTTATCGTCCTTAAGATTGCTACAGCATTATTCTTCAATCCAGTTCCGAAGTGCAAGATCTATTGGTATAGATTCTACATTCGATGAAAACGAGACCGATAGTATATGTCCGCATATATTCATATTTCAATTTTCCAAAGAGGCAAAAGTAAAAGATGAATAAGGAATAGTTTTCGTTTATATAAAAGCGACGACCATTTCAATCGAATAAACTGGCTATATCTTATTGTAGAGACGAAATCAGCCGTAATCAATAGAAAACAGGTTCACAGAAAAGTAGTGAATAAAAAGAAACTCGATATGCTCCAGTTGCATATATCGTACTGTTGCGCACCATCAATTTAATCTTGACAATACCTTGCTCAGAAGGGCGGACAGGAAAGAGAACATCGGTGCCATCTAATGATCAATGCGGTGCACCATGTTACTTGAGATTTGCACTTCTTATGAAAGAAAATTCTTTTCTTACATCATTTTTTTCTTTTTTCATTTATACATCGAAAACATCTGATAATAACGTGAATATTTGTTATTTCGAACATGTGATGCAAAACCGCGTGATTTTTTTCTCTTTCCTTTCTTGTCATTAGAAACCAGTTTAGCGTCTCCATCACGAATAAGATTGTACTTTGGAATTACATTTCCTATGGAATATATTTTCATCTATTGGTGATATCAAATGAAAAATACACCGAGAAAATCAATACAAATTCATTGATCCTGTACATGGAGCGAGATTAAAATACAAAAAGTAAAAAAATCATGACATTGCTTGAATAAATACGACTAGTTGTTATGAACGAGAGTCAGTATCACGAGAAAACAAAGTGAATATGAGTTGCTAGGCTAGATAGTTGCGAGAAAAGAAACAAAGTTTTGTTGACTTAGAGATCAGCATTTCTTTTAGCTTTTTGTGCTTTTTCACTGGTTTCTTCGGCGGTTTCTTTCGCTTTCTTCGATGCTTGTTTTCTTGATTCTTGAACGTATTCGGTGGCGGAATCAACTGCATCAGCTCCTACAAGACATTTTCGAGAAAAATGCAACGAAACAGAATTATTATTTGGTTAGACGTACCAGCATGTCGAGCAGCTTTCAAGGCTTCGTTAGCTAAAATAAACATTTTGATGAGGAAAAGATGGGAATAGAGTGAACAAACCTTTATCACGAGTTAATTCAACGGTTTGTTCAGCTAAAATTCCATATAAACAATCGATAATCAACATATCAGAAAAGTTATTTATTTACGTAATTTTTTTGCTCGTTGAACTCCATCAGCACCATATTCAAGTGCAGCTTCATAGGCATCAGCACCTAAATAGGACAAAAATTGAGAAAGGCAAACGAAACAGTTGACTTATTCCCTACCTGATTTCTGAGCTGCTTTGAGTGCTTCATTAGCTGAAAATAAGAGAAAGAAACTAAATATTTGATCGCCTTGAAAATCTCACCTTTATCTTTTCCAACTTCGAATGCTTGTTCACCTAATTTTTGACCTTGTTTCATACCTTCTTGTGCATATTCTTGACCAGTTTTAGCAGCATCATTCGCAAATTGTTGTGCTAAATGAAATTTCATAGAAAAATCGAATCCAAACATTTGTCCGATTATTACCGGAAGCTTTGACATCTTCAGCTACTTTACCCAATTTTTCTTTTGCTACAATATCAAATTGATCAAATTGACATATCAATACTTCAGAAATTACTCACCAACATCAGCATATTCACCGGCGAGTTTACTTCCAGCTTCATAGGCTTGTCCAGCTTTATCTTTCACGTAGTCGGCACCTTCAGCAACTTTTGGTGAAGCAGCATCATATGCTGCACTGGCTGCATCTTTAACCTACAACAATATTTATATGCCATAAAGGCTGAAATGAATAGAATTGTACCTTTTCAACAACTTTGTCCTTTAAATCAGCAGCAGCATCAACAGCTTGTTCAGTTGCTGATTTTTTTGCGAATGTCGCCGAGATAAAGAGAGCAATACAAATAAGCGAGAAGAATTTGTTCATGGTTAAGTTTTAAAATGAATAAATCTGAATGAAAGAAGCAAACAAATGTAGTAACGCGGTGAAAACACGTCACCAAGTGTCCGAGTAAATTGTATTCAAAAAGAAAGCGTAAAGAAAATAATATCACCGTGTTGATCACGTGTTGCCAACTAACGGAATAGATCGTGATGTTTCAGCTCGGTTTATTGAGTGCAATTGATAAAGGCTAAGCGATATGTTGAACCAATCATCAATACTTTCCTATAGATGTCGTGTTTGGTAATAAACTGATTTTGAAACGAATTTAGTGTTATCGTAACTTTTTGTGTTGCTTAAGAAATGCTAAACATAGTCATTCGTCGAGCCGTGAAATGTTTTACAACGGTCAAAGAGACAATATGATAGATAGATTGTGTGTTGAACACAGTGCATTACAGAAAGATAAAACTCACAAGAATGAACGAAGAAAACTTGTGTGACCGTTGATATTCAAAATACTCAAATAATTTCTAACAATGAATGTGTTTATGAGAGAGGATCTTTTTTGGTTTCGAATAAATCGCTACACCATTTATGCAACCTCCGTGATTCCTCGATGTATTTTGCTTATTTATCCCATATCAGAATGTTACGTATTGGTGCATTTATATATTTATGTAGGTATACTATTGAATACTTTTTTTCGCTCAACAAGAGCCTTCTTTTATCAGTCAGCAAATGCCAATCCTCCTTTACACGCGAATATTCGTTCTGTATCTAGAAAAGCAACTGTTTTGGGATGAAGAAATTAGTTATGGATGAGCTGGGACAAGTATGGCGAGAATGGAGATCGATTATTGGAACAAGCAAATGCAAAAATCGAATTATCGAGTGAGGCTATTTGTAGAATCGAACAAACTGATAACCCGGACGAGATAACAAAAAAAGGTTGTTAAAGAATGAAACAATTAAGTAAAGATCAAAGTGAACGATCCACTGTTGAATTATCCAAGACTATTTCCTTCTAAATAAAAAAGAAACATCTTTTTAAACATTTTTATGTATTTAGTAATGTTTTTATATGTGCACTGTGTGTGTGTGTGTCAAATAATGTGTTATTACTTTCGAAACTTTTTAATTCTTAGTATTTTAATTGTTTCGATAGAACAGAGTGATAGAATGGATGTATGAACTCAATTGTTAATATTCAAATAATATATAAAAATCGATTGTACTAATATTCGTTGACATAACAATTAAAGAAATGCATCTAAATACATAAATGTTGTACAGGACCATAGCTTTCTGCGCATTTTCAATGACTTTATCGTAAAGGAAGGGATGATATACTACGAATTATAAATTGAATTTATTTTGCGAAAGTGTAAATAATATCGAATAGTGATCTTATCAAAACATGACACCATTTCGAGAGAAAGGAAGTGATACCGTGCGATGTAAGGAAGAAACTACAATGACTTCCTCAATTGAAAAGGTTACAAATGTGTTGTAGATGAAATCGAACGGATATATATAAGGCGGTAACATCGTATTGGAATTCATTTTCGTTCTGATTGTCTTGTAGAATAAAAAAATGGCCAATTCATTGTACTTTCTAACAATGGTCATCGTGTTGCTTCAAATCAGCTTCAATGTAAGTTTACCAATTGAATCTAATGATGGAAATAGTCCTTGGATACAACATAAGCTACAAACATGGGATTGGTCTAGGTAAATATATGCAGATTGATGATCCCTATATATTGGATGTTATTGTTTTAGATACAGAGATCCACCAGAACCCAAGTGGACATTTAGAGAATCATCCATAGACAATTATGGTTTTCGTTTTAATCCAGAATATCAAGCTACTAGCCGCCTTTCTATAGCACCTCATATTGATTATGGTTGGCGCCAAGGAGTAACAGGAGGTGGTATTCGGCTTAGATATAAATTTCGAAGAAGTGCTGATGAACAAAACAAGTTAGCTCAACAAGTAAGTTTGTTAATTACCGAATGCGCTACTTAGCATATTCCACAGACCATGATTGTGCTAAAATCATAATTGTTTTTCGTATTTTAGGATCCTGATTTAATTTACAATAGAAATAATGATGATGCACAAGATGTCAATTGAAGAAAAACAAAATGATGATATATTCAATCTAGAATCCTTGCAGTGTAGCGTGTGATTTCTATAGTATCCTTTAATGGATTATTTCCTGTATTAGACAGTATTCTAATAATCTTTTCGTTGAAATAAAATCTACAGTCTACCAATACTGCAACAGAACAGCGATAGAATCAATTGTTTCTTACATTTCTCTGTCTTTTGACTAGAATTTGACTGTGTGAAAACGATGGTTATTTAATAGTAAGAATATAGACTATCGTTATCGGCAAGGAAGTTGCTATCACATTCTCACAGTCGCTCAATTCGTTGTATTAATATTAGTATAACCACTTCCCACAGATATTTCTATATATTTTCTAATAAATTATGCCAAAAATAATGCTAACAACGGACCTGCTCGTGCTATGTTTTCTGTCGTATATAACACAATGATTTTATTTGTCTAAATATATTTCTCTGCCCTTCGGCAACATCTGCGACCTATTTTCTATCAGTGCTATCAGTGATATATCGTATCGTACTCACTTGCATAGAAAAAGAATATTTTTCTGTACCAGAAAGATCATAGTTATGAGAAATAGTCGATTATATTTTCTTGGGATACAGTCATTCAACAAAAAGCAACTTGGAATATGTATTTTTATCATATCATTATTCAACTTTATCTCGTTTATCTACTGTCGAATGAATTTTCCATATCCGAAACTATTGTTATTCATTTAATCCTTCTTCGATTCAATATCAATTATATTGACAGAATCAAGTGTTTTCATAATCTTCTAAGTGGCAGCAATATTGACCTCTTTAACTTTGTGTGTTATGGTTAAAATTATAATCGTTTGATAAACAAACACTTCTGAATTTAGAACCTTTATCTAACGGAAGGCGAAGAGCGTGACGGCATAAGTTTATGCGGAAATGTGATCACTTATTCTACCGATTGACACTCTCGATCAGATCTTCTCAACAAAGATTTGATACATAGTGAAAATATTTCCACGTCGTCGTTTTGAATTTATAGACTATGATAATTCATGAATTATTGTAACGAAAGACTGATGGAAAAATACACAAGATTTTCTACATATAAATAGAAAGAGAAGTTGGTTTTTGTATGTTTAAATATAGAACTACTGAAATCGTACCAACGAGATTTGTATTGTGTGGTCTATGAAAGACTTTTGAGCTTAAACGCCGTCTATTGATGTACGCATAGGAAAGTATAATTCATACATGATATTTATTTGCTTTTACATATAAGTTTGTGGTTATATAATTTCCAGTCATTAATTTGACATTCTTTCGAACAATAACGAGCTCGTTGACATTTGCCACAAAACTTTGATGCATCCGCTTCGCAACAATAGCGACACATATTCACTATCCGTTCAGAGTCACTTTGCATGACAATAGAAGCCACATCATCAACGCGAATTGATGGTTTCCTATCACCAGTTCCTATTCGTAAATATGGATTGATAATGTGCATTTTACTTCCAATAGTATACAATTTGCGCGTTAAATATTCACCTTGTTCTTTGGGAAAATTATATATGAGCATTCGTTCACAATCAAAATTTTCATCTTCAATTACCAGATGAACTGATGGTTCCCATGAGTATGTTTCATCAATGATGGTGCCTGAAAGTACGTATCCTTTATAAACTCGGTCTTTCGTTGGATCTAGTTCTCTTAATGTAATTGGTTTTAATCCGATTAATGATTTCGATGTTTGCTGTTTAACTCGAGGTCCAATAGAAGTGGAAGCAACTATTTGACCTAACGTATGTTTTTCGTCCAATGCTTGGCCTTCCCACATACGATGCTTTGTAATAACTTCAACTCTATGAGAATCAGTAAGATGTTGTTTACGATTATTTTCGGAATCTGGTTTTATATTTGAGAAGAATTCACTATCAAACATAGGCTTCAAGTGGTCTAGATTGCCTGATTGATAAGGTAAGAAGCATGGTAATTGCGATTTCTCTGCCTCTTTACCTTTCATGTATAGTTCTTGCATCCGATTATAGCGCTCCACAACATTCGTAGGTGCATCATACTGCATAGAGCAGATAGCCATTTCATAATATGCATCGGGAATTTTGCGATGATCGTTTGGAGCAATATTAATGAATGTTTGATAAGCTTTGATTGTCTCGTCATAATCGATATACAGGTGACGCAACAAAACAGCTTTGTGGTATAAAAGTTCGTAATTGTTTGGCTCGATTTCAAGTCCTTTATTGATATCATACAAACCGAGGTGATATCGACGCAAGAATCCATTCAGCGCTCCGCTCGTCAAATAGAAATAGACTGATTTCGGATACTTTTCTTTGCACAAAGCAAGAAATTCATTAACTAATTCATATGAATTGAAATTTAGTGTTACGTAGCATATACGGACATCTTCATCGAACTGTGAGACATCAGAATTTGATTTTTGAGTACACAGACAAAGTGTTCGATTAACTAATTGAAGAACTCTGTGTTGCATTTGACATGGAATTTGCGCGACAATAGTTTCAATACGATAACATTGTGAAAGTTCATGAATAAACGTCTGTTCTTCTTTTTGTGATAAATTATCAAACGATAAGAGTATATTTAACGCCTGCATGAAATGTTCCAGAGCATTACAAAGGTGTTTAGCGGTTTTGGAACCACGTTTCGCATATTCACATAGCATTTTGTAATCTTGCAAGTATGAATGTTCAGAGGTTGTCGACGCAACATATTCAGTTTTGTACAAACGCCAGAAATAGTCCAATGAACTAGATATCATCAGATCATTCAGTGAAGATTGACTTATAGATCGTTGTTTATCTTCTATTTGTTTTGCGAACTGATCACGATTGTTTTGAGCCTCAAGATTACCTGCTTCACATGCACGATCATGCCAAATCTTTGCCATTTGAAAATTGTTTTTATACAAGAAAAGTCCTGCTAAACTCTCCATACCAACAGGATCTCCCCTTTTTGCTGCCAACTCGATTAGTTGCATACCTTTGTCAAGATCTCTCTCGACTACATAACCTCTCAAATACATTGTACCTAAATTGTTGGCAGCCATAGCACTTCCGTGGTCAGAGGCACGTTGATACCAATACAAAGCTACTCCTGGATCTTTGCGAACACTGATACCTTCGAAGTATCTAACACCTAACGCATGTTCAGATTCGGCTACACCAACATTTGGAAGCTGTGGATAAAGAGGATGATTTGGTGGTTGAGATGCTGCTTGTTCAAGCAGTTTGAGAGCTATTTGATGGTCTTTCTTCACACCTAAGCCACGATCTCTCAATTTAGCCAAATTGTACATTCCTTCGGCATTACCCTGATCTGCCGCTTTGCCAAAATATTCAGCAGCTTTCTCATAGTTCTGTTGAACACCTATGTCTCCACACTCATATTGATGTCCTTTAAATACGTCCGCTTTTGATGGATCTATTTCCATTAAAAATTCATCAGATTTTCGTAACGTTTCTGCATCAAGGCCAGATTTTTCTTGTCGTTCCTTCAAAACTTCAGGAATTGATTTTATATTCTGTCTTGGGTCCACGTAGTCGTTTCGTGATCGTCTATGTAATGTTATACGACTTTCATCCAATGGTTCCTGAATCTCTTTTCTTGTAGGATCAAGTGCAAATGCTCGTTCAAACGAATTGATCGCTTTTTCATGTTCATCTAAAGCGGCATGAACTGTTCCAACACGAAAGTGTGCTTTCCACCATGTTGGCCATAGTTCTCTTGCCTGTTTAGCGTTTTGCAATGCCAGATATCGTTCATCTTTGGCGTCAAGCGATTCTAATATTTTGTAAAACTTTTCCTGTTGCTCATGTAATAATAAACGACTAGCTGCCATATTCGAAAAAAGCATGGCGCGATCATGACTCGATACACCTGGTAAAACTGTTGCTTTGGTAAAGAATCCAATAGCTTCAGAATACTTTCCATCAGTATGAGCTTGTATACCCAGAGACTTTAAACGTAATGCTTCATTTCTATTTTCTTCATTTATTGACTCTGTAGACGAGTCAAACACACTATCATCTTTTAGTTTATCTAATTCGACATCAATATCACCGAATTCAATCAGAATAGCTGCTAAATTATTCCACACTTGATTGAATTCTACATTATGAACAGACTTTGCGTTATGAGCTAATTCATTTCGATATTCCCTTATTTTTTGTATGGATTTATCTTCTTGATCAAGTTGTTGTATTTCATTTGTGGTTAATGTTTTTGGGCGTTCAATAAATAACAGCAGAGAAGTTAAAACTGATATATCCCATTGCTCTGAATCTCCGTTAGAAACAGCTGTCTTCTGTACGAGCGTTAAACTAATGCTTTTCTTATTTTTCAGGACCACGTTAGTCAGATAATTGCTTCCAGATGTTGGCGAATCATCCCACACTTGTCCACTGTTGTACAGTGAATATCGACTTTTAAATAAATTCCGAAGTGACACGCGCGACCTTCCAATCAATAAGTCTAGTTTGAAATAATTACGAATCTCAGTTGATACGTTGGCCATGAGAAAAACGCTATTGTAAATTGAAAGTAGTAATATTCTTCTAGTTAAGCAGTTCTTCTTTCAATTGGAAATGTCAGCGTTTATCAACTGATGAGTTCAACGTGGTAGTGTAAAGTGTTACAAAGATATTTCTATATAAATTGTCGTACAAGTAAAACTTCTGATAGATTCTCACCCACTGTGGGCACGATACGTTTTTACTTTTTTCTTATGATGTTGTTTTTCAATCAAACGTGATGAAGCAGAAAAAAAACAGATGGGGACGCTGAGTCTCCTGAGCAAATATGAAGAGAATTCCTTTTTTCTTTTCTTTTTACAATTGAAACCGGCGGAGAACTGACATAAGCCGCATGATTCACATTGCACTTGAAAAGTGTCTATACCATCTTGAGGGCGACGGCATGAAGGTGAAACATTTTATCATTGGAATCGATAGAACACATGAAATTCTGCTGGGAATCAGTACGATCAGAGTTAGAGCGCATATCTGTACGAATAAAGTCTTCAAAAACTTGAATCGGACGCTAAGATATCTGACCAGCAATAAGAGACCATGTTAGTTTATCTCAATTACTGTTTTGTTTTATTTTTCTTGTATAAGTCACTAAAATTTGTGTGTTTTGATAATGTGAATGGACACAATCATTTTGGAAAAGAAACGAGCGAGAACAAGGAGAAAACAAAAAAAAGAATGTCAAATAAAAATGAAAAGAAGAATAAGTTAAAAATAGCACCGACAACAACGAAAAAGAAAAGGAAGAAATACTTGCGAATAGATATGCGATTATTAAACAAGTGAAAGAAAGTCAAGGTGAAGTTCATGAGGAATGTCAATTTGATCAAGTGAAA